GATCTTTCACACATTGTCTTCAAAAGTCATTTCAGTCAGTGGTAACAAACTAGAATGATGTATGAAATCTTAATTTCACTCACATACTTTAAATATAGGGAGGGCTCACTCTGTGTGAACATCTGCAAGTGATTTATTTTTATTTTTATTTTAACTGAGGCCTTAATTTTGGGGGGAAATGAGCCTTCTTCACACATACAAAAAATATCCTTTTCCTATATCATGACTGATTTTATTGGAACTTTGTGGAAGCACTTAGACCAGGAGCACCTGTTAGCATGACCATAAAAAAAATATTTGGTAAATTAATCTTAATATGGATATAAAATTAAGGGGTTTTTTTATGGAAGAATGTATTGTAATTTCCAGACATATAAACTCTCTCGGGTGCACATGCACTAGAAACTTCAGCAGCAGTTTTTGACAAACAGTGTCCTCTCATACCTGAGAGGGTTTTACATCCTCTCATACCTGAGCAAGCAAAGGTGTGTGGTGTAAAACTACTTTATACGGTGACTGCAAGTGTACTGCCCCATCTTATTCTCTGGATAAACAAATCAAAATCAGTTTAATGATTCCAAAGAGTATTGAATCTATTTAAGAAATACAATGAACTAAATACCTTCGTGTCTTAGAATGGGGTCTTTTCCATAATGTGTGCATTACCTGTTCCCCTCGGAGAATGAAAATACCCACCTCTCCTCTTTCTCCTTGCAACAGCTGTTAAATATGTCCAGGGAACTGAGTGAACTGAAGAAAAATCTTAAGGATGCTACTGCTGCCATCGCAGCTGAGCCTCTGACAACGGAATCTGAGCCCACGTTCAATTCTACGGAAGCAGCTATTCAGTCCATGCTGGAGTGCTTGAAAAACAATGAACTTGTTAAAGCCGTCCGGCAAATAAGAGAATGCAGGCAAGTTTTGCTACATGGCTCTTATTAGACTTCTATGTTATTAGAAAAGTATGCTAACTTCATACTAAACGTAATGTGCTGAGTCAGCATTGTTAATTTAATATGTTTCGACAAGGTACCTGGGGATGTTGGTATTATTAACTGTTGCAGGTGTGTGCCATGAGTAAAGATACCAAATCAGTTACACGAACATGTACGCTTGCAGCAATTAAGATGGCTAATCACATTGCATAGTTCAGAAGTACTTCTGTGAGGCTCCTGAGAATCTTTTTATAGGGCTAATTCCTTACAGGTGCGTGTCACTGGCATCAGCGAACGTTCAGCCCAGTTTCACTTCCACTTATTTGAATGAGTTTTCTTAAGCTTTTTTTTTTTTTTTAGACAACAGGAATCACGCTTTTATGTGCTTTCAGTGCCTGACATGAGGGTCTGAGTAACAAATGAGTAGCATAAAGCAGTGAGTTGCTTTTGGCTTGTAAGCGTGTGCGAGTCAGTTCTCCCTTTAAAGATCTCTCACCTCGTTTCTGTCTGTGCTAATAAACCCATAATGACACGCTTGTTCTTTTCCTGTTTGATTGCAGGATTTTGTGGCCCAATGACATCTTTGGAAGTAGCTCTGACGATGAAGTCCAGACACTACTGAACATTTACTTCCGGCACCAAACCCTGGGTCAGACGGGCACCTATGCACTGGTGGGCTCCAACCAGAGCCTGACGGAAATCTGCACCAAATTAATGGAACTGAACATCGAGATCCGCGACATGATTCGCAGAGCTCAGAGTTACCGGGTCATCAATACTTTTCTTCCAGACTCCAGCGTTTCCGGCACAAGTCTCTGACAGGACTCTCGTGTCCTCTTGCAAGCTGGGAGTGCTGCCCTCTTGGAGTGAGGTGGCTCGATGTCTTCTCAGCCTTACAAAGGTTTGGTCAAACTGTACTCACTCTTGTTACGTTTAGGATTTCTTCTAAAAAGCTATGGGCTGAACTTCAAACGTGTAGCAATACTGTAAGGACAAAGGTAGCGTAGACGCATCTGGGACAGCATCCTTTGTTCGCTGTTGCACAAAAATCAGTTAGCATTTCACTGAGCAACTGCAACTCACTACTGAAGAAGTGACTTCCATTGCATACCAAAGCCTACTACACTGAACAATACTTCCTTTATAGCAAAATTAATTTTAGGTTGGCAAAAGTGCAATGTTTCCTTCACGAAATAATATTTTTTTGTTAAAAAAAAAAAAAAGAAAAAACTTGTACATTTTTTTTCCTTTTTTTTTTTTTCTCTTTTTTGGTTGAGTGAAAGATGGGCAGAATGAAGCTGGCCACAGAATCTCGCAAACTGATTGGTCAAAAGCTGAGAGCCTGTGTATATGAAACAAATTGTAAATGGACTACAGTTTAATGAACACTGTAATTTGGATATGATTACTGTATCTTAAAACAACGAGCTGCTATGAAGTACATTTCCTAATGTTACTGGGCTACTGTCTCTGAAGGTACTGGATCATATTGCAGAGGTCTGTTCTTAGGCCCCCAAGCATCGTGAACGGTCTTGGTAGATTTCCTTCTTTTATTTTATTTTATTTTTTAAAGGACCTTGGCTGCTTTTTACTAGAGGGTTGCTTTTATGAATATATTTATACTATTAAAGGATGGTTGATCTAATTTAACTTGCCATTTTGTAGGAGAAAGTCCCATCACAGAGTCAAATCTTTTGAACTGTTATGCATGCACATTTTTATTTAATATAAATTTTGAGTATAAAAAGTAAAAATATTAACGTGAAATGCAAGTTCTCATGTTAAGTTTCTTTAAAGAGATGTCTTATTTTATTTGTAATGTATATATAAAAGTCATACCTGTATGGTTTTTTTCTTACATTTAACTGCTGCCCAGTGTTAAATGTATGCATGTAAATCTGTTGCACATCTAAGACACTTTTATTCCGACAACTATGTAACTTATTCACTCTGTAAATACACTTACCGTTTTTGTGAAGTAACTTTGGTTGATAATTTGGATCAGTACATCCATTTAACTAAAATATAAAAGTCATATATAATCGCAACAGAGTATGTGCTGCTTGTGAAGATTGTGTCCTTGTCTGAATCGATGGTGTCCATGATCAGCAGCTCCCAAAAGACACCTTTTTCATCAATTATGGTGGAACTGTTCATTATGCTGAAAGAAACCGGTGAGAAATGCAAGGATATTTTTTTTGTCAGTCTGTAGTTACGGCTCAACCAGGAAAAGTGTCTTGACTAAAGCAATTTCATAACTGAAAAAAAAAAAAATCCAAAGTGGAGGTGAAGATTTATTTCTGTTAAAAACATCAGTAATGGTGCCATTCGTTCCAGCATTGGGTTTTTGCTGGAACGAATGGCACCATTTTGGGGTGGGTTTTTTTTCTCATGGTAAAGGGAACAGAAAAGCTGTCCAGCTTTGTCTCTGAGAATCCACTGAAGCCCAGTTGTAGGACAAAAGTAGTTGCAAGGCAAATTACACAGCCATTTTTCTGAGTTAAATGATCCACAGTGTAATTGGGATTACAATGACAATTGTAATTGTAAAATAATTCAGCTGTAACACACGCTGTGATCTGCAAAAATGTAGTGGTTGGTGAAAGACGAGATGTGTGCTATCCCTTGGCAAAATCCCAGGCATTTTACAGATCACAGAATCACAGGAAAATTCGGGTTGGAAGGGACCCGAGGAGGTCACCTAGTCCAGTCTGCACTTTGAAGTGGGGTCAGCCATGAGATCAGGTCAGGTTACTCAGGCCTTTATCCAGTTGGGTCTTGAAGACGTTCAAGGATGGAGGGTCCGCAGCCCCCCTGGACAACCTATTCTACTTGACTGTTCTCATGGTGGAAAAGTCTGAACGTATCTTGGTTTATTTTATGTACATTGTTTCTCAGCCCACTACCGTGAGCCACACTGAGTATTTTCTGAATAACCATAACCTGGCAGCCTTCTGTTAGGGCCCCCTGAAACCTTCGCTGCTTCGGACTAAATGAGCCCAGTTCCTTCAACATCTCCTCACAGAGCAAGCTCTCCAGCCCTGTGACCAGCATGGTGGCCTCCCCTGAACATTTTGCAGTTGATCAACATCCTCCTCATACAGAGATCTCAGAGGTGAACACAGTGATCTAGGTGTGCCCTGAGTGAATGGGGACAGTCGCTCCCCCTGCTCCACCGCTCTTCCTGCAGCCAAGGATGCTGCTGCTGCCCTTTGCCTCCTGCTGCCGGCTCCACACCCAGCCCAACCAAGCCAGGTCACTGGTAAAGACATTGAACAGGACAGGCCCTGGGACAGACCACCTGCCATACTCCACTTGTTACTGTCCAGCAGGTAGAGTACCATCCTTTAACCACTACCTCAAGCAATTTAATTGAATCAATGTGAAGATGCCCCTGAGGTTCCTTCTGCCCTGAAGTACTGTGATTCTTCACAAATACACAGACCCATGAGGGAACCACCTAGCTATCCCAGCATCATTTCTACACATCAGGTAGAGTGGAAATCAGTATATTCCCAACACAGCCTCACTGGAGTCCTAGGACAAGAAGAACTGTGGTACCACTGTGCTTCTACACCACCAGTATTTAATCAGGCATCCCCTAACTGCATTTTAATTCCGTGAAAGCAGATTCAGTTACTCATTTCACTTATATTTAAGCCACCAACCCTGGAGATACTTTACATGACTGGAAAACTGCTGAGGCAGAGGAACTTGTTCTATGTCTTTTGGGACACAGTAACTCTAGAGAATTTGTTATGCTCCCATCACAGATACCCCAGCTCAGAAGGTTGGAAAATAAATGAAGTTTACACTTTTCCCTTCATATCAGACATAGTCTTCTGGCATACAGCCTTTGATAATCAAACTGCCTTTTTTTTTAAATTCATTTGACAGAGAAACGGAAGACACACTTGCAAACACATTTACCCCAGACTTTATGCTCCAGACTAGTTCAGTTTGAACTGCTATTGCAGTTTTAATCTTGGCATTCCCTAACAAAGAGGTTTTGTTTCCTTCCACATACATATTCCTTTTTCATCTCAGCAGGATGAAACTCAGGGGTAACAAACTACTGCAAACTTTTATTCTTCTTTATTCACAGGGTACATACATACAATTAAGTTACATACTTTATAAATACTAGAAAAGTCTTCACCCATTATCCGATGCCAGGTCAAAAGCCTAAAGTCAAGACATTGCAGGAGACTGACGAAGTGCAGAGCGCAGAAGAGACGAGGGCACCCGGCTCAGACAATGTATTTGAACCTGTAGGTGTTATCACAGGAGAGCCTCTTGCCTTTGCAGCGGCCACAGAGCTCTTGGCGATGAGGTCTCTTGAGATCAATGTGTCTTTTCTTCTGAGGGCAGGAACAACGAGTCTTTGAGCAGATCTTAAGAAACAAGACATTTTATTAGTAGTAGATCAAAGGTGCTCACTTCACATTAGACTGGTATTTAGTTTCCCTTAATCACAGCAACACATTCGGGCTGATACACCTAAAAGAGCTCTTGTGATAAAAACCCTGTGGAGTTAAGCTGTAAGAACCTTCTCACCTAGAAGCACAAAACCCTCCCCTCCACGTAGCTCAGCATAACACTGTATGAGCAGCCAGCCATTCGTGTAAGCCATCTGCAGGGGGAAAGAGGCCTATCCCACTACACCCTTCCCAAATAACATTTCCTAGTGCTTGGATGAAAGGAAGTTCCCTTTCAGATAGTCAGCATCAAATTCAGCCACTGTAAACTATTACAGGGTGTGACAAACTCTGTCACTCTTACCAGGATACAGAAATCTGTAGTTTACCTGGCACTGGATGGCTTCCACTCGATAGGGATTGAAGCCCTTCTGGCATTTGCGACAGAGCTGCTTGAAGTACACCTGAAAAAAAAGAAAAAAAGGCAAGTTCTTGATTACTATAGAGACTTAGTCAGGGTGTTTAGTACAGGTACCTAAATTTGTGCCAAGACATTCAAGTTGTCACAGATTTGGTGCTATTCTTACAGACCTCGGAGCATGAAATGATGTGTTACCTTATTGCTTCCAGAAATGCACCACACATAAGCACTCTCCCATCTGGTCTTGCAGTCTTTACAGTGGAAATAGCCATACTTCTGCTCCAGGAACTGCAGAGAGGAAGACAGAGTTCACTGAGGACCACACACACACACAGCCCAGCTCCCTCATGCCTTCCACCCCTGCTGGGAGGGAGCCAGAGCTGCCCAGAGACAACCAGCCCAGAAGTGGGGGGTGGTGCAGGCCTGATGGGGAACTCAGGATAGGGACTGCTGTACCTTTTGCCCCTCAAGAGCAGATTTCATAGAACAGTTAGATTTGGACAGGACCTTAGGGATCATCTAGTCCAACTCCCCTGCCATGGGCAGGGACACTTCCACCAGACCAGGTTGCTCAAAGCCCCATCCAGCCTGGCCTTGAACACTTCCAGGGATGGGGCATCCACAACTTCTCTGGGCAGCCTGTTCTAGTGTTTCACCACCCTCACTGTAAAGAATTTCTTCCCGATGCCCAGTTTGAAGCTACTACCCCTCATCCTATCACTACATGCCCTTGTAAAAAATCCCTGTCCCACGTTCTTGTAGTCCCCCTTCCCATTCTGGAGGGCTGTTACAAGGCCTCCCCAGAGCCTTCTCTTCCCCAGGCTGAACAACCCCAACTCTCTCAGCCTGTCTCCATAGCAGAGGTGCTCCAGCCTCCGATCACCTGCGTGACCACCATTGTCATCATCTTCTCACCGACCCGCTTCACCCCACACCCCTCTCAGCACACCACGGGCTGCACCAGCTGCCGGCCCCCCTCCTCAGGCCCCGCACCTGGAAGGTTCCCCGCCGCCTGGGGGCCGCTGCCGCCCCCTCCCCGGCTGTCTCCGCTGTCGCCTCGCCCGCCGGAGCGGCCTCTGCCCGACCCTCCTGCTGCTCTCCGCCGCCATCCTCCGCCTGCTGCTCCTGAGGGGTGCTTTCAGGCGCCTCTTCCTTCTCCGGGGGAGCCGCGGCCTCCGATAGGGCGAAGAGGCGGCGGTGGTCGGGCGTGGGGGAGTAGAGGGCCAGGTGTCCGTGGGCGCGGAGGGCGGCGGAGCCGAGGGGGCGGCCGACGGGCAGGGTGCGGGGCCCCAGCGAGCACTGGACGGCGGCCTCGGCCCGCAGGTTCACCTGCACCCCCGCCTCCTTGGTGTCGGCCCGGCGCAGCCGCGGCGCCAGCCCAGGGCTCAGCTGGGAGAGCAGGGCCTGCAGCTGGGCCCGGCGGTAGCCGTCCAGGTAGTCGGAGGGCAGGGGGCTGAAGGGGCCGCCCAGGAAAGGGCTGATGCCGCCGCTCTTGCTCTGCTTCCAGCTGGGCTGCTTCACCGCCCCGTCCCGGCTGCGGCTCGGGGTGAGGCCACTCCTGAAGCTCTGGAAGGTGCTAAAGGGGGAATAGACAAAGCCCTCCATGATCATCATCAGCCCCCGTTGCCTCCCCACCATGCCTTTATCTTGCCTGCAGAGCTGCTGCTAATTGTTGCTAATTGATGGGGATAATTGGCCCCAGCCCGGTGGGGTGGGTGATCAAGAAGTAGCCTGTCTCTGCAAGGCCCTGTAAAGGTAAGTAGGTGTAACTGGGAGACAGCAGGGACAAGCTGGTCCTAGCGAGGGAGGCCTCTCAGCTCCTGCTCCTGTGGGCCTTGAGGGGAGGAAAAGGGTGGGAAACAGACAAAGCCCAGGTAAAGTGGGTGCTCCAGGGACAACTGAGCATAGAATGCAGCAAGTAGATCTCTGAAAAGAAGTCTTTATAGAATCATAGAATGGTTGGAAGGGACCTTTAAGATCATCTAGTTCCACAGGGACACCTCCCACTAGACCAGGTTGCTCAAAGCCCCATCCAGCCTGGTCTTGAACATTTCCAGGGATGGGGCATCCACAGTTTCTCTGGGCAACCTGTTCACCACCCTCACAGTTAAGAATTTCTTCCTGATACCAATCTAAATCTCTCCTCTTCCAGTTTGAAAGGTCTGAGCATCCCCATTGCTCCATTACTTGGGGACTGTCTTTGATTTTCTGCAACTTTTCCATCAACTGTATTGGTTTAGGAAGAGATGGAATATACTTCAGTTAGTACAACACTCCAGAGGGAAAACAGTTATACTGGGAAAAGTGGCTTAATACCTGTATAATGAAATAAATTTTAGCAATACAAGCACTTATATGTTAGACTAATAGTCCTCCTTCTGTAATCGCATCACTTTAGTTCAATTCTAAGGTAATAAAGTTAAAATCATATAATTAAATCATCCAAACTGCGTATGTGAGTCTTTAGAGACTGCAGATTCCCCAAATCCCTGGACCTGCTGTGATGTGAAATAATTTCTTTGTGTGATTCGTCATCATCTTTATAAAAGTGTTGCATCATAAAATTCAGTGGGCCACCAAGATAAGGGCTGGAGAAGAGCTGGTAGGGATGGTGCCTTTAAACGCTCACGGTGTATTTGAGAAAGACCCTTTCAAGTGTCTGAAATAAATCAGTAAGAAACAGGATTTTTATAGATCAAAAAGGTGTTGAGATTCAGGAAACACACATCGTAGTTAAAAGCAAGATGGCTCAAGGCTCCATGTAATGGTTGGGTTTTCAAGGCATGATCTGTGTGCACTAAAAGGAAAACCAGGGTATCAAGATGACCAAGGTAGGACTCACAGCTGCAGTGGGGCTGCAAAAAGAGTATGTTGTTGGGGTGCATTGGGAGGGGGATGGACACTAAATTGGAAACTACATGCCATCATTCAAAACAACAGCATGGCTTGCTCTGGAATGCTTTGGGAAGCACTGGTTACTGTGTCTCCCCAGGACACTGCAGGATTAGAAGTTTGTTGGAAGGAGGAGGGACATGGAAAAAATATTGTTTTAAGAGACATTCTGGGCATGTTTAGTTTGGAGAAGAGGAGGCTGAGGGGAGACCTCATTGCCCTCTACAACTACCTGAAAGGAGGGTGTAGAGAGGCAGGTGTTGGCCTCTTCACCCAAAGGACGAATGACAAGACCAGAGGAAATGGTCTGAAGTTGCGGCAAGGGAGATTTAGATTAGATATTAGGAAGAATTACTTTACTGAGAGAGTGGTCAGGCACTGGAACAGCCTGCCCAGGGAGGTGGTGGAGTCACCATCCCTGGAGGTATTTAAGAAACGTATAGACATGGCTCTTCAGGGCATGCTCTAGTGCCCAAGGTTATTGGTTTATGGTGAGGTGTTGAGTGTGGGGTTTAGTTGGTGGGTGCGGTGTTTTTGGTGGGCGTTTGGTGTGGTGTGTTTTGTATTTGTTTGGGTTTTTTGTTTTTTTGGTTTGGTGTTTTTGTTGTTTTTTTTTTTTTGTGGTTGGACTCGATGATCTCAGAGGTCCCTTCCAACCACTAAGATTCTATGATTCTGTGAAAAAGGCAGCTGATGATTAAGTAGGTGATGTTATAAAACTGCGTAAAATAAGGACTGGTATGGAGAGGTAGGAAGGAACCCCTCTATACCACAGAGCCGATGAACATCTGACTGACACGCTGAACATGAAACACCAGCACAGGTTGCCCAGAGAGGTGGTAGATGCCCCATCCCTGTAGGTGTTCCAAGGTCAGGTTGGACAGGGCTTTGAGCAACCTGCTCTAGTGGGAGGTGTCCCTGCCCATGGCAGGGGGGGTTGGAACCAGATGACCTTTAGAGGTCTCTTCCAGCGCAAACCCTTCTGTGATTCTATGAAAGATGGTTAACTCAAAATTGGTGATGGGAAGGCTCTTCCACCCAGCCTGAAGTTGTTTTACGGTCTCATTGCAGAGGCCAAGAATTGTATCAACAGTCAAAATGGGAATAGACGTGTATGTGGAGGATAATAATATTCTCTTTATTGTAACATCATCAACCTTAATAATAACTTCACGTGCCAAGGCCTACAAACCCCCCTAACTGAAGCAGCGAGGCCAAGACTTCCCCAGGCCCCGACACTCCATCACAGCGCTGCCGTAAGCCTCCCGCAGCCCTTCCCCGGGGCGCGGGTGCTAATTGCCATTAAACACCCAGAAACCCGGAATACGTCGACCTTGGAGGCCGCGCTGCCTTTTCTCGCGGGGCCGCCTGAAAACAAGGCGGCGGCTGACATTTGCCTCAGGACGCTCCTTTTTTCGTAGCGTGAGGAATCAGCCCCGGAGGGAGGGCGCTTCCAGAAGACACCGCCTTTCCTCCCCCGGCGGCTGCCTTCCCCGTCCCCGCCTCCCGTCCTCGCCGCTCCCCCTGAGGAGAGGCGGCGGCCGCCATTACACCGCCCCCTTCCCGTGACGGGCAGGGCGGGCGCTCGCAGCGCGCAGGCGCCGCGGGAGGCTGTTGGCGCCAAGCTTTGAACGCGGGGGGGGGAGAGACACGGGGCCGCTTCGCCTCCCCCCGCCCCACGCGTGAGGCGATGCCGTGGCCGCCGTGCCGCTCACGGGGCCGGAGGGAGGTAAAGGCCCCCGCGTGTGGCTTAGCCCTGCGACCACCCCTGCTGCGCCCGGGGGGGCGTCCCGGCTGCCCCCCCCCGGGGTTCAACGCTGGGGAGGTCCCTCCTTCCCCTCACGGGCGGCGCGGGGGTTGCGGTTACCGGCCTGCCGGGGGTGTGTGGGGGGGTGGGTGTGTTTGGGGCCCGTCCTCTGAACCCCTCGGTGCTCTGAGGGGTGTGGGGGGGCTTGGGGTCCATCCTCTGAAGCCCCTCGGCCCTGTGGGGGTGGACACCCGTGGTCGGCCCCGCAGGCAGGGCGCCGTGCGTGGGTGGCTGCCCCGAGCGGGGGGCGGCCTGGATGGGTCCCTTCGCCTTTTCGAACGTACTTTCTGAGGCAATTTTACCTTTATTGACGTTGTGTCTTGAGGTGGCCTGCCTTTAAATGCCCGTCTGCCCTATGCTGGTGCGGAGGCAGCCTGGAGAAAGCAGCCACTGTGTGGAAAACTGATTTACACTGGAAACAATAAACGTCTTAAAATAAACAGGACATTTTCTATGGCCGTCTTCCTTATACCTGTTTTTTTAATAGCATGGGGAAACCGGCAGTGTCTGCTCCACTTGTAAGCAGCTTTAAATCAAATTCTTGTCACCTGAGTTGTAATGGTGGTGACAGTATATGTTCTACCCTGACATATAAGAGTGAGTGAATTTTTTTATGTTTGAAATACCTCAAAAGCGTTCTGCCCATTCCGTCTTGGTTTTGCTGAGTATTTTTATCATCTCTGGTGTATTTCCCCGTGCGGCTCTTGCCTGTTATTTTCACACCGCGTTCATCCTCATCCCAGTGTTTGAACACCCGCATCACAGCCCTAAAGCTGAAGAGCCTGGGTTACAAGTCACCTACCAAAAAATGCAGGACAGCAGGGTTAAGACTTGCAGCCCCTTGACATTAGAATAGCACCTCATGAAAGCGTTTTCTTATTTCTTCTCAGGTGTTTCAGCAACTCTTTAGGTAATGCTATGGACAACAAAATGGCTTACGAAACTGTGGAAAGACCAACTTTCTTTGAAATATTTAAGGCACGTTGCAGTGAATCAGGTACAGCCTCTCTACAGTAAATAATTTTTATTAGGGTTGCTTTCTAGACATTGGTATTTTATACACACCTGCTGTATGCTCCATAGAAAACCATTATGCAACTTATTAGCTGTTCTTCTTGCCCCAAATCTGTATTTGCTGATTTCTACTTTTTTAATATATTTCTTTAAATTTTTATTCATAGCTTTCTTTCACAAATGTGTGCTCAGTTCCTTTTTTTTTTTGTACTTGTTTTTCTGCTGTGGCCTCCTTTTGTACCAACATGCAGACCAGGTTTACTCTTTTGCCTAATGCACCTGTAGTAGTATGACTTACTAGTGTTAAAAGGAACCTGTTTAACTTGCCAGTCTGAGTAAAATAAGAGATAAACTACAAGCCAAAAGTGCACTTTTAATTTTAAACAAACTGGATATCTGCTCTTTGGTTAGTTTTGTTAATGTTCTGTGAGCTTGGGCAGGCATTCTTTTGTACTTTGTGGGTGTTCAGAGTTCAAAGCTATCTAGACATAAAATAAACAGAAGTATGACAATGGAAGGAGCAATGCAATTTGTTGCTAGCATTTAAATGCCTAATATATTTTCATATCCTGCAAGGAGGATCCTTTTTTTTTTTTCTTTTTCATGTGGTTTTCTGTATGTTTTTCTTTACAGATTTAGGGCCTATCAGTCTCAACTGGTTTGAAGAACTCAGCGCAGAAGCACCCCCATATGAGCCTAAATTGTTAGAACTTGATGGTCACTTTGACTGGCTTGATCAAACATCTTTTAAAACTCCAAGGGCAAAACCCTCTACGTACAGTCAGCTGGCATCAACTCCACTAATATTTAAAGAACAAAATACAATATTGCCACTTTATTCTTCTCCTGGAAAAGAACTGGATCAGAAAAAAATAGATGAAAGTGAGTAATT